GAGTTCAAATCCGGTCTCAGACACTTCCTGACTGTGTGACCCTGGGCAAGTCACTTAACCCTGTTTGCCTCAGTTTCCTCATCTGTCAAATGAGCTGGAGAAGGAAATGGCAAACCACTCCAGTGTTCTTGCCAAGAAAACCCCAAAGAGGAGCACGGAGAGTCAGCTACAACTGAAACGACCAAGCAACCACAACAATAGTTAGTGGCTGCTCGTGAGAGGCTGAGTGACGTGGTGATCAGAGCACTAAGCTCTGAGTCAGGAGGAGCTGGCTTCCAATCGTCTCAGACCCCTGGCTGGATCACTTCCTCTCTGGGCCTCAGCCGCCTCACCGGTAAGTGATGAGTTCGGACTTGATGACCCACTCAGGTTCTTTCTGATTCCAAATCTATGATTTCTGATTTTGATGAGAGAATACCAGGTGGTGTATTGCTGCTGTGGGAGAGACAGAGGAAACGCAGCAGCAGATCTGAAAGGGCTTGGAGGGCATGGCTCAAGAGACGCTTACTCTGGTGCTCCCGAGATACTGATGTTGTGCTCCCCTCTGATCATGTCCCATCCACACCTTCCTTAGGAAGGCGGTGGTCTTCATGAGCTGCTCTGGCCCAAATTAATCAACTGAAGGCAAGCCCTGGTTAACGGCCTCTCCAAATGCTGCTGAATTGGACACGGGAAGACACAGAACGAAGCCTTTGCTAGTCCCAGGTGCTCAGCCTTTACGGGTCACATAGTTCACCAGACTTGGGCTCAGGGGCAGAGGGAGAATCTCTATTATAGCCATGCCATGATGGGGCTATCGAAAGGCCACACGACCTTCCCAGCTCTTTCCTTAGCTACCGTCTCTCATGAATGATGAGTGCTTTTCCCTAGTACTCTTCTTCCATGGCCATGCCTGCTACTCTCAATCAATCAACACCCATCTACTAAGAGCTTACTACATGCCAGGATTAATATATACACAGGGAGAAGAGTCGCCTGTGAAATGGTGAGCTCAAAGATACACACTACGGAGTATTAACGGTTTACCGCCTCTTGAGTGAGTCCAAGAGATCTTCTTCAGGAGGTGAGTGTGGGGTGACCTTTTAAAGACGTGGTGGCCAGAGGGACAAGAGAAGACACTAAATAGCCAAGTCCCTACATGTGAATAGAGAAAACAGGAAAGAGTGAATTCTGTTTGTATTGGCTCAGTGGTTGTAGACAGAATGGACAAGGTGGGAAGCTGTTGAGGCAGGAAGGTAAGAGAAGGAAGCTTCGAAGGAGTCTAAGCACCAAGCAGAAGAATTGGGCCTTGAAAAAATAGCCAGCAGTAAAGCACAGCAAGCTCTGGGGTAGAGCCAAGCTAACGTTCTAGAATGTAACGAAGGAGAGATTATTACGATTCTATTACTAACCAATCATTAAGTTGGGACCCGGGTTTTTCTCCTCAATTTCCTCATTAAGACCCAGCTCAAGTCAGTCTCTGAAGGACTTATCCCTCAAGGAACATGCTTTTCAATCTTAGACAGGACCCCACCCAACTGGGAGACCTAACATTTGTTTAGAGTATCAACAGAATCCAGTCTGGGCAAGTTCTTACCCTCAGAAAGGAGACCCTGTCCTCGTACTCCTCCAGGAGAGTTAAGGGTGACCTAGTACAGGGAGGAGAAAACCAACCAGAGTAGTCTGAGTGGAGATGGATTTCCCTGTCCCGATTGCTGGAGGTGGCTGAGTCTCATGATCAAGCCATGTTCTCAACAGGAGGAACGGAAGACTTTTAGCCAACCTCCTCATTAAATGTCCACCAAACATGGTTGATTCTCATTTGTCAAGGGAATTCCCTTTCCAAAGGGTTATTTACAGCTTTCAGGGTCTCCACTGGGCATCTTTAATTACCGAGAGAAACTGACTATCAACTTAGTGATTTCTGGCTTGTCTAATTACTAAGTTGATTAATTATCCAGAAACTCAGTGTCTCGGGTTTTTTCATCCATCTTACTCTATATTGATATTGGCAACAGTGTGAGGAATAGCCTAGAAAGAAGAGAGATAGGAGGAAAACCAGTGGGGTTGAAAAACATTAGCTTAGGACAGTTATGACAGTTCAGACTGGAGGTGGTGAGGACAAGGGCCATCGTGGTGTTTATACAAGAAAAGAAAGGTCAATGATTTTGATATTATGGAGGAAAATTTGACTAAAGTAGAAATCAGAATGATATTGATCCCAAAACACCCTGAAAATTGCCCAGACACAAAAGTGAAATGGTATTATAGGAATTAGCAAAACATAGTCCTGGGGATCACATAGATTGAGAGCTGGGAAGAATCTCAACATTGAGCTCATCCAAACCCTTCAATTTGCAGATAAGAAAACTGAGGCCTGGAAGGGTAACATGACTTTCCTATGTTCATACAGGTAGTCAATAACAGAGCCAAGACTTGAACCCAGGACCTCTGATACCTAATATGGAACACTTTCCACTGCATGGCTTTGCCTCTGGTATATGTTGTGATGGTAAGAAGTGAAATCAATGCTTTGGATATAAATACATAAACTAAGAAGCATGAGTTCCTTCTTCCCTCCACTCCTCATGTTGGTGAAGACCCTTCTAAAATTTTGGAGTTAGAAATGACCTTAGATATTACTTTGTCCCAAGTGCCTCATCTTATGGCTGAGGAAACAGGCCCAGATAGGTTCAATAACTTATTAGCAAATAGCCAGCAAGTATTTAGCAGAGACAGGACCAGAACCTGGGTTTTCTGGCACTCAGCCCACTGCTTGTTCTTCCCCTGTCATAGAGTCAATGACCTATCTCAGGATGAAGCATGAAGACATTCCTCCTCAGATGCCCATCAGTTGGGGAATGGCTGAACAAGTTGTGGTATATGAATGTAATGGAATACTATTGTGCTATAAGAAATAATGAGCAGGTGGACTTCAGAAAAACCTGGAAAGACTCGTATGGACTGATGCTGAGTGAAGTGAGCAGAACCAGGAGAATGTTGTACACGGTAACAGCCACGTTGTGCGATGACTAATATTGATAGACTTGGCTCTTCTCAGCAATGCAAGGATCTAAGACATCTCCAAAAGCTCTCATGATGGAAAATGCTATCCACATCCAAAGAAAGAACTATGGAATCTGAATGCAGATCGAAGCATACTATTTGCTATTTTTTTCTTCTGTTGTGTTTTTTTCCTCTTTCTGGTGGTTCCTCCTGTTGGTTCTAATTCTTACCTACAACATCGCTAATGTGAAAATATGTTTAATAGGAATGTATATGTATAGCCTATATCAGATTACGTGCTGTCTTGGGGAGGGAGGTGGGGAGGGAGGGGGGAGAAAAATTTAAAACTCAAAAGCTTATGGAAGTGATTGTTGATAATTCAAAATAAATTAATTAAAAAAAAAGACATTCTTCCTCGACAATCTTTCTTTGGTATCTCATGATGGCCAAAGGTCACGACCCTGGGTTCTCAAAGCCTTATGGAGGCCAAGCTCTGGCTCATCCTACCAAGCTGCCAAGGCAAGAGTCCAGGGCTGGGGATGGACTGTGTGACCATGGGAAGGCTCATCACCTGGCTGTGGTGTGACATGTTTTTGGTTACAGCAACTCACAAATACCATCTATTGATGCAGGGAAAGGTTGCAACCTGTATCAGGGAAGAGAATGCACACACCAATGAAATTACAGATGCTTGGAGCATGTAGGATGAGGGTCCATGAGACAATACAAAGAATGTTTAAACCCCTGGCATTTTGGAAGTAGCTAAAATAGGTGGGTATGGAAAGATCTGAGTGAACGACATAACCATCTTCAAGTTTTGAACGGACAACTTGGGTTAATAAGCTCATACAATGCAATGATCCACCATGATTGCAGAGGACCACTGATGAAGCATCTCCTACTTCCTAGCAGGGAGGTGAGTGACTCACAGGGCAGAAGAACACACCCATTTTTGGACATGGCCAATGAGGGAATTTGTTTTGACTATACATATTTGTTACCAAGTTTCATATTTCTTTTTTTTTTTTCTGAGAGGGAGCAGAAAGGGGGAGAAAATGCATGTTAATCCAAAATAAATAAAATTCAAAGTTTAAACAAAAAAATCCTAGGATCATAAATACAGAGCTGGAAGAAATCTCAGTGACCATCTGGTCCAATTTCCTCACTTTATAGATGAGGAAACTCAGGCCCAGGGAAGCTGCAAAGGGGAGATATGAATCCAAACCTCTGACTTTATTTATTCATTTGAAGACTGGGTCTCCGTATTTCTACCGGGTTGGAGGTATATTGATCTCTTATGGGCTCGATGCCTCTACTGATCAGCACAAAAGCCCTGACTTGCCCTCTTTCCAACCTAGGCTAGTTTGCTCCTCCTTAGCAGCCTACTGGCCCCCTACTCTTGGGCATTTACCACATTAGTGTTGGACTTGGTGTGGGCACCTGACCACTGCAACCCCCTATAGCTCAGAACCCCCTGAGCTCAAGAGATCTGCCAGTCTCAGCTTCCCCCAGCAGGGACTGCATATGTGTGCTGTAAGGTCCAGTGTCCTCTGACTTTATGGCCAATTTGCTTTCTATTAGATCACTCACAGAAGTGAAAATGAGGCTAAATCTAAGAAGGGTTACCTAGCATAGGCCATTAGTGTTGAAACTGCACAGAATTGTTAAAGCCTCTTCACTGAGGGATTTGTAGCTGAGTGGAAGGATTCACAAAGGACAGATTGTTCCATTCCAGAAGGTTCCTACTGGTGGTAGCCATCTATGGACCCACATCTATCCTGAGACCACACGTTTCACAGAGTTCCCCAAACAGGCATTGAGTGGCACTGGTTTACCATCCGATTACCTTCTGAGGAGGTAGCAAAGCCGAGCACTGGGGTTGGCGAACCCAGGGCATCGTGCTATCCAAATCATCTTTGTTTTCACAAATTCAGTTTTACACAGGACAAAAATAGCCCTGAAATCGTTCACGCTGAATATTTTTTTTTATCCTAGCCCCTCCCCTTCCCTCTTACCTCGTGTTTCATCTGGAAATTCTGCACGAGGTTGAGGTCAGTGAACATTCGAATTGTGCAGAGGGCCGTGTCCAGATCGGAGAGTTCGAAGTCACTGAAGGAGAAGTCCATTATCTTGAGGGTTTGGGCGGATGGTATCGTGGCGGCCTTAATGGGAGGGGGGGGAGGAGGCAGGCAAAAAAACAGCAAAACATAGCAGTCAGCAGTCGCAGCTGCCACCTTTCAGAAAGGTTCCCTGCTCTGTTGGCAAAACCAACATCGTCGTTCCACCCCTCTAGAATATTTTAAGTGGTTTCAAGTTGCTTAGTAAAGAATTTTCTTCTTCCATTTATGCCCCCAAACATCTGCTCTCTCCTCACTCCGAGGGAAATGAAGCCTCTTACAAAGATGAGGGAGAATGGATGCTTGATGGCATGTTACTGAATAAAATAAACTCCAGCTAAGTGGTGCAGTGGATAGAGCACTGGGCCTAGAGTCAGGAGGACTTGAATTCAAATCTGACCTCAGACACCTGCTAGCTGTGTGACTCTGGGTAAGTCACTTAACCTCTGTTTGCCTTGGGACTAGCTAGGTGACACAGTGGATAGAGCACTGGGCCTAGAGTCAGGAGGACTTGAATTCAAATATGGCCTCTGATACCTACTAGCTGTGTGATCCTGGGCAAGTCACTTAACCCTGTTTACCTCAATTTCCTCATTTGTAAAATGAGCTAAAGAATGAAATGGCAAACCACTCCAGTATCTTATTTTATAGTAGCATCCTACTACTGGATGCTAAACTTGGAGTCAGAAAGAACCTGTGTTCAGATCCCATTTCATCCAGCAATTAGTTATGTGACCCCAGGATAGTTCCCTATCCTTTCTGGATCAGTTACCTCATCTGTAAAATGGAGGTTTTGGACTTGAACGTCCCTTCTGGCTCTAAATCTCTGAGCCAATAATCCTCTTGCCAGATGGTCACTGCCACATTAATCCACATTTCCATAGAGCTTTGAGAGGCAATATGTGGACTGAAGGCTGGTCTTGGAGCCTGAAAGACCTGGGTTCAAATCCTGCTGTGACACACAGCTTGGTGATTTTACCTCCCACTGCCCCAGGACGGTTCTCTAGGCTGCAAGCTTCAGAGAAGTTACTGATCTACATTATTGGAGGAAGACACTGCATGGAAATTTCCTTGTACTGATGAAATCATGAGCCCAGTTAAAAAAAATTCCCAACGCATTTTCCTTATAACAACCCTGTGAGGGAGGTAGCACGATCACTACTATTCTCATTTTGCAGTTGAAGGCACGGAGGCCCAGAGGTAGTGATCTGCCCATGACTGCGTTGTTGTTGTTGAGCCGTATTTCAGTTGAGTCCAACTTTCTGTGACCCTGTTTGAGGTTTTTTTGGCAAAGATACTGGAGTGGTTTGCCATTTCCTTCTCTAGCTCATTTTACGGATGAGGAAACTGAGGCAGGCAGCGGGTAAGTGACTTGCCCAGGGTCACACAGCTGGTAAGCGTCTGAGGCTGGATTTGAACTCAGGAAGATGAATCTTCCTGACTCCAGGCTTGGTGCTCTATCCACTGTGCCACCTATGTGCCCCCCATGTCTGACTGCATAGCTTGCATGAATCTGAGACTGGATTCTCATCAGGGTCTCCTGATCCCAAGCCCAGCATTCTAGCCACTAGCTCGTGCTGCCTCTTGGGTGAGCACATGTAAGGAGGCAAAAATGAAAAGGTTTGGAACTGGGAGGGACCTGGAACAATTCTCTAGTCCAAACCTGAGGCCCAAGCAAGGAAAATGACTTGCTTAAGGTCATAAAGATGATAAAGGAGATGGGATTCAAACCTCGGTCCTTTAATATTAGATCAATCCCCTTTTACTGAACCATACTGCCTCAGCTCTCTGGCACTGCCATCTGGAATGATCGTGGAGCTCCAGAAGGAGAAACGGTCACTTCACAGCCTGATGCCACCTACTGGTGACTCAACAGAGTCAATTAAACTCAGCTGGTGGCAGTTGATGCCTCCTGGGTGGAGCGAGCTGATTGGTCATTCACACTGAAGCCAACGGCTTTCCTCTGGGCAAGCCTCTAAGAAATGGTCTTAGATGGGACTGAGGGATGGTGATGGTGGAAGGAGGACAAGACTAGCAAGGAAATAGGGAGAAAAAGAAAGGAGGGAAGGAGGTAGGTCAGATTCCTGCCCTCCTCTGAGCTTTCTTTAACCTTCCGTCACTTGGGTCTCTCCACTCAGTCTGCTGTCTTCTCCTTCTTTGTTGTCATAGTCTTCTGTCACCATCATCATCATCATCATCATCATCATCTTCTTCTTCTTCCTCCTTCTTCCTCCTCCTCCTCCTCCTCCTCCTTCTTCCTTCTTTTTATGGATGTCCTTCCATCCCACCCCCACCCTGGAAGTAATCTCAGTTAAGACCAAGGGCTTGCCACGTTCTCCTGCTAATCTCTGCCTTTTGCCTTCACTAAACTAGGTCAGTTTTCTGTGGTTACTCAAGCAAGACCACCATTTTCCCCAGTCACAAACAAAGGTTTAATGGAAAAGGGTGCTAGACTGAGAATCAGGAGGGACCCGGGTCTCAAAACTACACTGGATGCTTCCTAGCTGTATAACTGTGGGAGAACACTGTACAACTCTGGGCTTCAGGTTTTTTAGTTTGTAGAACAAGGGGACAGGACTTAAAGGCTTTTAAGGTCCCCCCCAACTCTAATATTTATGACCCTAGGGAGAATCCATTCTGGTCCCAAGACCAGAATTCACAAGAAAATAAGCACGTCATAAATTCACGTTATAACTCTTTCCACAGGATGATCTGAGGGCTGAGAGGCTGGAGAACAGAGGAGGATCTAAACTGTTTGGATATACATCTTGGTGGCTTATCCCAGCTAGGAATCCGAGACAGCACGAGTAAAGTGAGGGAGCGGGGAGCTGAGGGAGGGGAGTGAGACCACCTTTATAACCCCCGGGAGTGGATGACAGTCACGGTCCACAAAGCGACAGATGGCTTTCCCTGGGGGACCCCGGCTCCAGGAAGGAAGTGCCTTTTTGTTCTCCCTTGAACAAAGAGTTGTGGGAAAGGCAGAGCCAACTTAGCACATGCTCCTCTTCCTCAGCCTTCACTCCATCCCCAGAGTCCAGAACAGCTTCTCTTGCATTTGCTGCAAGCTGGAAGATTTCCTCCTCTATCATGGAGCCAGCGCCCAAGCTTTCCAAGTGTACCCCAAAGAGAAGTGAACACCTTCCCGCAACTCAAGATAAGAGCTTATCGGAGTCTTGTAGTAGGTGATGGGATGTGCGTGATGGCCAAGTTACAGGCATATATATGTTACGGACATGCATGTAATCATTATCGTTATTTTTATTTGAAAGTCACATGACAGAAATAATTTAAAACATTGTTGTCTGTTTATTCTCATGGGCACTGACTATGCAGCTGGCATCCCAGACTCCTTTGTAATCCAGCCAGGGCTTATTAAGTGCCTACTGTGTGCCAGGCGCTGTGCTCTCTAAGAATGCAACTAATGGAAAAATACTCGGAAAGCTTGAGATATGGGTGAATATTTAAGTGTGAAACATCGTTGCCTCTACTTTTTATAAAATCAGCAGCTGGGTGGTAGAGCTGGACAGAAGTGCCAGAGTTGGAGTCAGAAAGACTTGAGCTCCAATTTGCCTGAGACACTTACTTTGTGTGAGCCTTTACCATTTTCAGCCTCAATTTCCTCATCTGTAAAATGGGACACTAACAGCACCTCCCTTACAAGGTTGTTTTGAGGATCAAATGAGATTATACACACAGACATACTTAAAGTGTCTCTTTCTTCTCTCCCTGTCTCTCTCCTTCTGGGCATGTCTCTCTCTCTTTCATACATGGTACATACACACACACACACACACACATACATATATACATAGTTTCCAGTTTTGCGTATGTATATATATGTCTGTATACATGTATACATATATACACATCTATGTGTATGTGATTGCAAACCTTTGAGCTCCACAAAAAGTGAGCTAAATTATATATATAGATAGATATATGCATCTAACTATATATATACATATACATGCCTATTACATGTTTGTATATATCTACATACACACATATCTACATCTCTATATATATTATATATATTTGTAAACCTTGAAGCTACACAGAAATGTGAGCTGTTATGACCATTGTAGAATGCCAGAACCTCACAGTTGGATCTGATAAATGTGATGATATCACCGTGCTGCTCCAAATTCCTCAATAGCTCCCACTTGCCTCAAGGATAAATGACAAATGGCAGCTGAGGTCCTCCACGGTCTGGCTCCTCCATTTCTTGTCCTTTTCAAGCTGCCACTTACATTTCTAGTTTGTTTCCCATGACCTCACTCCCTGAACTCCGCATTTCAAACCGCTTGTCAGTGGTACAACCAGCCATGTTTTACCTCCTCATCTTTGCCCAGCTGGCTCCTCATGACTGGAACATCTGGTAGAACGTAAGCTCCTTGAGGGCAAGGACCATTATTACTTTGCTGTCCTTGTGTTCCCAGCACAGCAGGATAACTCGCATGTAAAATGTGCTTAAGTGGCATTTGCTGAGTTAAAATGGAATATATTCTCTACCGCACTGACCTCCTAGCTTCCTACAAGCAGCTCCGGCGGCAAATCCTACATGAGGCTGTTCCTTTTCAGAGAGTTTGGCCACAAATCTCTCCCTCTTGAGACTGCTCGGTATAATTTGACACAGACTTGTACGTGCATGTACCTACTCTACCCTCCTAGGGACACGTAAGCTCCTGCGGGCAGGAGTGGATTCCTTTTTGGTTCTGTATCCAGTCATTGCCTGGACACAAATATCACAAATATCACAGATGGTTAAGAAATGTTTGCTAAACTGAATTGGAATGGGCCTCATTCAGTCAATTAACAAGCATTTATAAAGCACCTACTGTGTGCCAGGCACTGTGCTATGAGCCAGAGGCACAAATATAGGAAACAAATCAGTTTCTCTCTTCAAGGAGCTTATTCTATTGGAAGAAAACTTGTCCACATAGACACAGACACACACACACACAGACACACACACACACACACACACACAGACACACAGACACACACACACACACACACACACAGAGCCACATACACAGATGCAT